TGAACAAGATCATACTCTGCAATCTCTCTCGGAATATGAATAGTAAATTTGCTGCACCTCAAGCCTCTGACATCTTTTTGTGTGCCTTGGAACTTGCCAAACATGATTGCTACCAGCTTGATTAGTTCATAGGCGATCACTTTAACAGCCCAGAACACATGTCCTTGCATACTAAAGCTGCTGCGTGCCATTGATTTCTCAAAGGTCTCCCCCACTGAAATCAATAAGGAGCTCTGCTTAAAAATGGATTGCACTTTGTGGTCCCGTTSTGATTCGTGGATTTCCAGGCTTCCAAGCATCCTCACAGCTGCCTCAGCAGCAGCTCCACGTCCCCCACTTCCTCTGACCCCAATCTGATCCTAAGCCACATCAACAGACCTTCCAGCCACTGCTCACTGCCAGCAGAGTCAGACAATAGAAAATCCCACCAGGAGCATTTCTCTGGAATAATGTCTTCCCAGCAGCAAAGGAAAGCCCCTCTGACAGCTGATGTGACTGTTAAATAGCATCAGGCCTTCAGTTAACTGCGGAGGCTGTAACATTTTCAACAGAAATAACTCCCTCACTGTAGAGCTTCCCTTGTAATCAGGGCCACTCAAAATCAATACCTCTGTTTTCAGAACAGGGATATTTCAATGAGAAAGAGAAAAAGACAAAGATCAAAAGCAGCACAGTTCATGGTATCCCTTCCTTCTCATGTATTTGAAAGCTTGGCTTCATTAATCTACAATCCAATTTGGCTGCAAATAAGCCAAACACATAAATACACTGCTATAACTTCACACAGCTACTTCCACAGAACACTCAGAAGATTTCACTAAACAATATACAAGAATCCTCATTTCTCTTGGCTTTTAGGTGCTCAGAGTTTTGGTAAAAGGGCTGCCATTTTAGGAGAAAGGCTAAATGAGACTGAAACTGGCTCTGTGAGGAACTGCAGCTGAGATCAGCCCTGTATTTATGAGCATTAATTCTCTCCAAAACAGAGGAACAAGGATCAGTGGGCCGGCAGCAGTTCCCAAAGCCAGGCCAGTTTGTCACTGGTGAACCAGAGCAACTGAAATATTACAGCAAGGCTGGAAAACCCAGCAGAAGGTCATAATAACTCCTTCATAAAAGATACTATTGTGCTATCATCRAGCACATAAATAACAAAATGGCAAACAACAAAGCTGAGGTCAGCTCTGCAGCCCAACAGCTTCACCCATTCCAGATGCCCCCAAAAGGCAGCAGGCAGCRTGTTTAGGCAGCATATCCAAACTAAGAGCCATCAGGTAGAAAATTGTCTTTTCACAACACATTTTGAGAGGAAAAATATCCAACTGTGACCTCACAGAACGGAGAGTGTTTAAACTCAGCAACAGATGTGTCAAATGACTTATCCCAACCATGAGGAGTTAATTGATGCTATAAATAGCACTCCGCAGACAAAAAAAAAATCCACTTAATTCTAGCATCCACAGTACACAGTCTAACTCTGCTTATCAGTAAAACTATTTTCCTTTAAAGAAGTGGGCTTGGATGTTTTACATGTAGATTAACACAGGGAGATAATTTGATTTCAGGCTATTGAGAGATTTCCTTCCTTTTATGTTTCAGAAGAACAGGGCTGCATGGAGCTAAATGAGATCCATAGATTACAGTAGAAGAAAGGCTAATAAAACTGCACAGCTACATTCCTGGGTAATAACAAATGCTTTTTAATTCTATGGCTCCAGTCTTGGGGTTTATGAGGGCATTTCCAATTACCACTTTTAAGATTAATGTAAATAACTGTATCAAATAGAAACAGATTTTTTAACCCATCAGAATCAAATACTTTGTATCTCCATAGCATTTTATACCAATAAATAAACTGGCATTGCCAGGAAAAAAATTCACAAGTCTGAAGTGTTCAAATCGAGCCTCTTCCCTGTGGTTTTCACCTGCTTTCAGGAGAAAAAAAAACCAAAACCAAAACCCTTCAGCTGTTTTTCCGAACATGTGCCTTGTTTACCTTTCACAACCACATCTAATGGGTTGTGTGGCTGCTCCACTAGGAAACTGAAAACATCAGCATAAACAGGAAAGAACATAATGTCAATGTTCGTGTGTAATTCTTGAAGCTACTAAATCAAATTAATTTCATTAGCTGCTTAACAACCAATCTTACTGCATTACTCTCCCATATTTCAACCTCTCTCATTAAAAATAACCAGATTTCCACCTYATGTTGCTTTAAACCAGGAACAGTATCAATGAAGAGATTAAAGCAATACAAAGACAGAAGAAACAGAATAAGGCCCACTAGCTTTAATTCCCTYCAGTAACATCTGTGTCATTCTAAATCCAGGATTTTTTTCACCAAGCCACATTTGGAAGCCTGAGGCACTAAGTAAACCTACTCTGTTTAGACCAGAACTATTGATCTGCTTTCTGCAATGGCATGTGCAGAGCAGACCCTTTACTGTTTCGGTGTCTGTAAATTTAAAATGCAATCCAAGTTCATTTTACCCTTGTAAGTTTAGGATGCAATCCAAGTTTTGTGCTGATTAACACCACAGCTTTTTAGTATTACAAGGCAAACATGMATTTGAGAACTAATAAATAATTTCTCAGCAAAATAAAAGTATTTAACTCATCTGCTGTCTTGAATAATCATTCAGTTCATGCATAAACATAGAGACAGGAAAAACAGATACATTTTAATGAAAGTCTTGGAGAAAGTCATCATTCCATATGATGGATTTTAGTGTTTAACATCTCTCAACAGAGCAGTCTTTATTATGCACTGCAAAAAGATCGTGCTCCAGAGGTGCTGCCTGGTTGAGGGGCAGAAACATTGCACAAGAACTGCCAGTTCAACTCCCCTCAGGTGCAAGGCATTGCTGAATTTTCAAGGCAGAAATCCTTATCCCAGAAAAGCATTTCCTCTTCCACCAGCCAAGCATTTTGGCTTCTGTGGGGTTAAACTGACAGACAAGTAGCCCTCAGAGAATAATACTCAGGACATGCCTGGTTCATATCCCTGGGTAAATCAAGATGCCATAGTAACCCCATTGATTAGTCCAGCCTCAAGCATTCTTTACCCATTTAGATCTTCCCTCCCACAGAACAGAAACGTGGTGCTGTGCTTACACTGCCAAGTGTTACACTCATACACTGATCTAMACTTATTTTTACTACATCACTGCAAGTATCAATTTTCATGACTAAGATTCATATCTTTATTCTAAGAGCTTTTTATTCACTGGTTTGTAGCTCTATTAAATTTTAAACATTTGGGCTGCCAGCAGAGCACAGGGACACAGAGTCCAGTCTGCTCTGCAGGCAGTGAGAGCTTGGCACAGCTCACCACAACCTTCAACTGGCAACTCACCAACCATAGCAGACCTCCAGGGATCCCCTCTTCTMCCCATCCCTCCTTCCCTGCATGGAAAACCTGCTCTGAGTCTGACTTTCTTATTAATCTCCATTTGGACTGGACAACTACCACATTTACACAACATCATCATCTGCGCAGCAGCTGAACCTGACCTGAAAAATCAGCAGGAACTGGGGAAAGAATTGGATTGAGGGGGTCAATATCAATTGTCTTTTGGAGAAATCATTTTCTTCCAGATAGCAATAGTTAAGACTTCGATCACATTCCTTCCAAGCCTATCCTACATTTTTATCTTTGACTGAATCTTAATGCTTTTTGTAGTTTATATCCCCCATCAAGGATATTTCCTATTTCCAGAAACAAACTTATCACTAGTGCCTAATTACAGTTATTTGGAAGCAGAAATATTTCTTCCAAATCACTGAGGATCTGCTCCAAGAAACAACTTTCTATTCAAACTTCCCTTTTTAATAACCATTCTGCTGATAACTGCTGAGTGGGAAAAATAACAATTTTGCTTTAACTTTCTAAGCACTTCAAAATATTGAACACAAACTCCCTCTATTATATTAAAATTAAAATCCTGCACTGTATAAATAGGAATGCATTTCAGCTATAATAAACACTTCTAACTAAATTCATTAAGACTATGAAAGTAACAGAGGTAAGTCCCAAACAATTCAGACAGTAAATACAATGTAAACTGATGAGAATCTTGCCTATAAACAGCTTTGAAACTTTAAATGGGCGATTTATTTTCAATAAAACTTTTTGGTTTGACACATATACAAGGAAATATATTTAATCTAAAAACAATCAAATGAAAATGGAAAGAACTTTGTAAAAATCCGTAACATGATATGTGTTATTCAGAGGATTATTTTCAAAGACTGCTTGGCTAAAACTATAATCCACCTACACTGACAAAAATAAAGCAGTACACAGAAAGGAGCAATATTTCAGGAAAATAAACAAGACTACTTTAATATTTAATCCCATTATTCACTTTCAAGCCCCCAGATTTAAAACAGACACACCAAAGTTCTGAGGTGATTTCAGAGCAGCTCCAAACGCTCATGGGTCATTCTCTAAGTGACCAGAGGACTGGCCTTTTTAATTCAAGGAAGGCTAAAATGCAGCTGGCAGGGAGTGCACAGAGAGAGGAAGGGATATAAGTGACTCTTACTGCCTGTAGGAACAACTCCCACAGTGAGAGACATCCCCTGCTCTGGCAGGGGTAGAATGAAGCTAAACGAGTATTTCCATGGTAATGGGAAAAGGGAGGTTTGGATCAGAGATGGAACTAAGGCACAAAAGAGAAAACTGCCATCYCTGCTTCCCTCAGCTGCACTCACATTTCCCCCTGCCAGGACCTCGGCTCTGGACACAAGAATGATGGCAGAGGGTCCTGTCCTAGTTCCATGTTCAAGATCTGTCATAAGGTACTCCCTTCTTTCTGCTCCTCAACCATTCTACCACAATGTAAACAAATTTTAGTTGGCCTTCAATAGCATGGAAATGAAGGAATTTCTGAGAAGTGTAAAGACAATTTRGTAAAAGGACAGTGATTTAAGAATATACATCATGAAATAGTAACATGACACTCAAGAGACTCAGCTGCAGAAACACAGTACCTTTTATAATGTTTCTTTCTTCTAGTGGCTTTAAGAAAGAAATTCTCCCCTGGTTCGATAATAACTCTGTAAGAGAAACAAAGAAAACAACAAAGATTTTTATTCCATCTGGAGGGACTAGGAAGAGGGAGTTATTTTTAAATAACTGGTAACATTTACATAATACTGTGGTCTATTAGTTGTATCTCTCCTTGGCTCCCCTTTGTGAGTCAAGCTGGTATACAAAAAAACRTTACCTGTGGCATCTATTCCACCATTACCTGAAATCCCAAGAAAATCCCACAGAACTGGAGTACTGCAAATAAACTCCATAAAAAGATTGTCTTGATTTCTGTCCCAGTGCCACTCATACATCCATATATCACACATTCCTAAACTTAAAATACGTATTTAATTCCCCATTAACTCCTAGGCTTAAAAGCAAAAAATGTCTCCCTCATAAGAAAATACCACAGCATTTTCAGTCATCCGGGTCTAAATGCCATCTAGTGGCTCTAAAAATGTCAACTATGGCTCCACAGATACACCTCATCCCGTTTGACATTTTTTCTTTTAACAGCAGGAAATAAGAGAAATTAGGGCAGGAAATTCACCAGAAAGAGCTTAATATTTTTCAGAATYTMATTTTTTGTGAGAGCTTCACGCAAYATTCCCATTACATTTYTTATCCTTGYGGTTTCTCCAAGTTAACCAGCAGGATCCTTTGTCTTGGATTCCCACTCTCGTACCCTCTAACAAAAACATTTTACGCAGTTGATTCCTGCAGATCACCCCTGCTGGGCTTCACTTGGATAAAGTTTACCAAAACCCAGAAATGCCACTACCCTTCCACTGGCACATGGCTCCTGCTCTAGACCCTTCCTCCCTGCTCCTCCTTTGCCTGGAAGGTACAAGAAGAACAAATAAACATGTGAATGGTACATAAGGAAAAACACTTCAACCCTACAGACTCACTGGAACCACAGAGGTGCTAAAGAAAATGCTACATCTCTGATGTGAAATGAGGGCTTCTTTGAAGCCTAATTTCTYTGAGCTTTTGTCTCATATCAAGAATATGTGTATCTACTCTAAGTAAGCTAATTTTATTTATTTTATTAAAATATTCTCCATTTTTAAGCCAGAAATAAACCATGAATTGCATATAGTGTCAGCTGAAATAGACTGAAAAAATACTTCCCTTGAGTTTTCTTTCCTCCCTTTTCACCTGTGTTTTTGCTGTTGTTGATTCAGAGTCAAGAAGACAAGCTGCCTAAGGCTTGGGATGTCCTGGGTAAGACCCAGTCCCACTATAGCATTCGTGCAGCTGTGGGCTGTTGAATCTTTTTTTATCCTATAACCTGGGAATAAAGTGCATTTGCCTACTTCAGTTACTCTCAAAAATACATATATAAAATATCAGAGTTGTTATATATACCCACACTATTACTGATGGTTTTCTAGTGATAATCACATTTGTATACCCTGAAATTTAGTGCTGATTACCATGAAAAAAACTACTTGTCTTTTCAACATGAATCTGCATTTGTAAAATGTGTTTCATTTTACTCTTTGAGCAGGATATTTGTCAAAACAGTGGCAGTCCCTGATGTGCTGTGTGGGTTATGGCAAACACCTGGAACAGATAATGCCGTGTTCACATGGGTGCAGTCCAAGTGCCAGCGGGAAGCTGAGTGCTGGTTTTTATTGACTGATGCCAGCTCAGAGCTTCAGCCCCAAATCCTGGGAAGCCTGGAGTTTGCTGAGGCTCATGGCTATCCTGCAAAATCCCCTTTTCAGCCCTTGGTTCCTGCCCATTTGGTAACACAACCTGTGGTACAGGCAGAGGGAGGAATATCCATGAGTTTGGGCAGCATTACATTTAATAAAACACCTGTGTTTCATTAAAAAAATGCTGCTTCATTCCAGTGATACACTTTTATTGCTGATTTTAATCAAGTATCTCACAGCTCTCAAATGGGAAAGGTGGAGAAAAACCTGTAATGCCTTTTCAGATTGCTTGTTATCTCTCACTTGTAACTAATTACCCCAGTCACACTGTTAAAGACTGAGYGGTTTTATGTTTGCTTGCCAACAAATGACTAAAAAAAAAGAAATTAGACAATTAGTCTCTAGCTATAGTAACTAATTAAGATAAATATTTTCAGAATAAAGAACTTAACAGAACATCAAGGCACTGACACTGCAAAAATGTCTGGGAAAGTAAAGCATCYATCAGCAAAGCATTTCTTGCCAGTCAGCGAGTTCCACAATTGCATCGCAACSACACTTCATTCTTGTCCTACTCCAGTGAACATAATTAGTTATACAGCTTTTCTAAAATGGTGAGAATGTGAGTAGCTTATTGGACTATGGGAAGACTTAGGGACAAATTCTGATTGTGCACCATTGCAAATGTGTGCGGAGTATTTTCACACAAACAGCATGATGGAGAGTGCTGTAGCAACCTGTTCTACCATTCCTTTTTCCTAATGCCTTATTTTGTATCATCAGCTGTGCCTGGACTGTGCTGGTAATCCACTCCTCACACCTTTCTCGGTCCTTTAAGGCTTCTGWGCAGGCACCCAAGCTCTTGAAAACACTTGCTGAAATTCAGTCAGAGAGAGGAGAAGCCTTCAGACAGGTACAGCCTGGGTAACTCCAGGATTGCCTGGCCCTTGGCTCACCCTGAGTTCAGTGACAGAGCCAGTGTGACACAAATCACAGCTGGAACATGTTCTGCAGCACTGCACTGATCCCTCGCTCTGCACAGAAACTGGGGACATCAACACTGCCAAGCAGGAGGGAAGCAAACAGTGTAGTCCAAAATAAACGCCGTGGATGGACAAGAAGGCCGCTTTTCAACTCAGCTGCAATACTACATAAACACACCTTGCAAAATCTTGCCCAGGGCATGAATGGAAAGCCTCTATCTTTGGCTCTTTCTGTCACTCAAACGACCTTCTCTTTGGCATTAAAATAACTAATAATGAATTTGGATGATGTTATTTATTCAGCAGCAGAAAAACGACCTGCAAACTCATGGCTACAGCCCTCATTGCACACTCAAAACCTCAAATCAGCCTCAAGGAACTAATGTTCCTCTCGCTTACAGCAGTGGATTGCAGTCAGCACAACTTCACATGCCAACAGCTACCCCAATGGAAAAGAGACCAATGAAAAAGAGCTCACCATTTACTCCCAGATTAATTTGTCTGTCCATGTTTTGTTTTTATTGATTGCAAGAAGCTGATACTCTCCAATTGTATGTTTTCCTTGGCAAGAGCTCCATCACAGATAAATCACCAAAAGTTTGGGCAGAGCTGAATAAAGCTCTCCCAATTCTATTTTGCATCTGCTGTGATTTACTTAACCAAGAGACAAGGAGGTGAAAAGAAAGMATTTTCTTCCTTCACCTTACATCTTCATTTGTTAAAACTGCTATTTTATTTCACCAAGAAATGTAGGGTATTCTGAGTGACAGCACAGTTCCGCTTTTATGTAAGGTATCAGATGGCAAACATGAGGGAGCTACATTACACAACTCAGTGTGTGGGTATATTCTCTGTCACAACTTGCATCAAAACACATGAAACAGTCATGGGAAGCGAGGTTTTTCCTCTCAAAGATGTGATATAAACATAATGAACGGCAGCCACCCCACACACTCATTACAAAGCTTTCCATCAAAGAGGTGGACTTCAAGCTGTTTGATATTTTAATATTTACACTCAATTATCTCTAGAAATTTATTTAAAACAGCATTATTTTTGTGTTACTTAGGAGCTYTGAGTTCCCTTAGAAACTCCTACTCATTCTTAATTATAGTGTAAATCAGCATGTTAACATCAAGCGAGCAACCACTAACTAAAGCAGCTGATACAAATGCAGACAAAGTTCGGACAGAAGTAGTGGCAAAATGCCCAGAAAGTTCCAAACCCCCTCWGAAAAGCTCAGTCAACGTGGAGAGATACACAGACCTTTCAAAAGAGATGCACTGGGTAATAGCAGTTACTGCCAATAAATTTTATATAAATATTACAAAAGCAGTAAAGAGCCCATGCATCAGTACACAGACATGTCACAGATAAGAACTGTGGCTTTTTAAAATGTCAGGATGGAAAATGTACAACAGCCTATAAAATGTCACTCAAGTCATTACATGCTACCAGTGAAGTAAATCATTTATTAAAGAAACAAGGGCTGAACTAACTCTGCCAAAGCAGGTGCACCTATTTCCTCTACCTGATAAAGACATGACATATTAAAACAAAATGTATGAGATACACAACTACAAAAGCCAACGAACAGTGATTCACTTCACTGTGCTGTGATACAAGCAAAATTAAAGCTAATCCTTTCTTCTGAAGGARATGTCAGAGACTTCTGTGCATTTGGTAAATTAATATTTATAAGAAGCCCAGACAGTTTAGTATTTTTAATACAGGACTAAGATTTTCTCCTGAACATCAAACAGAGAAGTTGYATTCAAAAAGCAGTTTCTTGATTGCCACAAACCTAAATGACAGTATTTCCAAGATTTGTTTTCCATCATGTCATTCYGATTAGCAACTGTGTACAACTGGGACATTTGCAAAATCCACCAAGTAGCCATGAATTATACATTCCTAACTCTTTAAAGTTAACGCACAATAATCTTCTTATCAAGAGCCTGCTGACAGCTGCTGGTACTATGTTCCTAATAATTCTCATTACAAACAGACATCTAGGAATGGAAAAGCAAGGTATACACAGTCGAGCAYCACACAAATGCACATATAGATGTAATAAATGAGATTTTACCAACACAGCATTGTTTCAAGAAGTTACACAGCAATAAAACTATAACTGAACACCTTTTATAGAAAAATGTAATTTAAAATTTTACAGCCAAATACGTGTAAGAATTCATCACACCCAATTAAATTAAAATGCAGCACTTGATCACTTTTTATGAAAATTTTGAAAGGAATTTTGTTATATTACATGCTAATATGAAGTTTCATTCAATTTAGATGATGAATTATCTAATTTTGTTTTCTAGTAYACTAAGGGTATCCAAATTGAACTTGATAGCATCCATGGGGCAA